CTCTCCCTGCTTCCCAGCCTCCTGCAAGCGCCTGCAGTGCTTCCCACCCGGCTTCTCCCAGCTCCCGTCCTCGGGGGGCCGTGCGGGGAAGGGCTGCGGCCGACAGCAGCCTCTGCCTTCCCATGCCCCTTCCCGACCTCCTCTGCTTTTCTCCTCAGCGTTTCCTGCCTTATCACCTCCCCCAGCTGCAAATTCAGGCCCTGGAGCAGTGTAACGGAGCCCTGTGGGATGGATGGTCCGAGGGGGACTTGGTCCATCTTCTCCCTCCATCTTTCCTATTTCCACGTTACACCTCCCCATCCAGCATAACCCCAGGCTGGGAAATGGGAGGTAAATATTTTTCAGCGAGCCATCCCCATCACACGCCCAGCTCTGGAGCTATTCCAGAGTTATTGCCGTGCCTCACCCGCTCCCAAAATCATCCAGCCAAAATCCTGGCGCTGCCTGCCAGGAGTGCACATGCCACCCCTCCATTCGTGTGCCTCTTGGGGCTGCCTGGACTTGCCAGCACCCAGAAGAACAAGCCCTCGGGTGTGGGGCAGGACTGGGAGCATCCCTGGCACATCCTGAGCACACCTCCACCCCGGCTGCGGTCTCACTTGCGGTGGGAACAGGGAGTGGGAGGAATCGCCCGGCATCATCGGGCCACCCCTCCCCTTGGATTTTATGGAGCAAGGGTGCAGCCTTTCCTGGTGTGAAACTCAAGAGCATCAGTGCAGAAATGGAGGAATGCATCATTTGTGCCAGGGGAGGTTTAGGTTGGGTATTGGGTAAAATTCCTTCATGGAAAGGGTGGTCAGGCACCGGCACAGCTGCCCAGGGCAGTGGTGGAGTCACCAGCCCTAGAGGGATTTAAAAGACATGTAGATGTGGCACTTGGGGACATTGTTTAATAGTGGACTTGGCCTAGATCCTGTGGGCTGCTTCCCCACTGCCTGCCTGGCCAGGGATTGGGATCTGAAGGAAACCTAAAGTGGGCTCCAAGAGATCTGGAAAGGGACTTTGGACAAGGGCCTGGAGGGATAGGACGAGAGGGAATGGTTTCCCACTGCCAGAGGGCAGGGCTAGATGGGATACTGGGAAGAAATTCCTGACTGTGAGGGTGGTGAACCTCTGGCACAGGTTGCCCGGAGAAGCTGTGGCTGCCCCTGGATCCCTGGAAGTGTTGAAGGCCAGGTTGGACGGGGCTTGGAGAAACCTGGGATAGTGGAAGGTGACCCTGCCCATGGCAGGGGTTAGAACAGGATGATCTTTAAGATCCCTTCCACCTCAAACCATTCCATGATTCTACGACTTGTGGGTCCCTTCCAACTCAGCATATTCTGTGATTCTGTGACTTCTTCTGCTTTTTGGTGGCATTTGTTTCGGCAAGCTCAGGATAGAGCAGTGTGAGGGAGCACAGGGCTGGCACAGGATGGATCTATCCTATGGGAGTTACTTATGGCCCTTCCACAGCTCAGTTAAACCACAAAAACCAGGAGTGGCAGCCGAATATTAAATAAAAGATTTGACTTTTATTTAAAATAAAATGCATTTTTACATAGTCTTGAAACCACAGAGTACTCGAACACAACACTGGTTATTCCTCGGCATTGGGTGGGGGACGGGATTCTCCTCATTGGCATTATTGTGGGAATGGCTTAATGAACCTGGCCCCAGGCATCAGTTATTGAGGGTGTTGTGGCACAGCTCTGAAATCCCCTTTAACTTAAGGTAAAAATTCACTGAAATTGTATTTTTTGGTTTTTTTTTTGTTTTTGTTTTTTTTTTTTATTCCTTGGTTTCTCCCCGTACCCCTTCCAGACATCCTATAGGTACTGCTGATACACAGGATCTATGCAATATTCTAGCTGGCTTGTGAGACTAGTTAACAAAACTGTACAATTTTATAAAATTTGTGTTTTTTTACATTAGTTACACAAAACCTTTACTTCATAGACCTTTTACTTCATATCGTAATGAAAAACTTTGCATATCAGAGGCAGAACAGTGACTATGCTGGTGAATACTAAAAGTGTCATAATACAATATGGTGTACAAATAAAATTAAAAAAAAAAAAGGACAATATAAATGATTATCAAAAGGCAAGTTAAACAAACAAAACCAAGCTATAACAGACTAACAGAAGATCATCTTCAAGGCCACACAAAAGTCACATCAGGCACCTGTCGCAGTCCTGGTGTGTGTAGTGTGAGAGGAGAGATGGCAGCTCTGTTTAGGAATTAAAAACTTCCAAAAAGGACAAATGTACAGAATAAAAACACAAAAAAAAAAAAAAAAAAAAAAAAAAAAAAAAAAAAAAAAAAAAAAAAAAAAGGA